CAGTGCATGGACCCGGATCCGACCTGAGATCCGTCCAAATCGACCCATCGACCTGACTCCCCTTGCCCCAAGCCTAACCGATCTAACTGAACTAGAACCGAACAGCTGAACTCGATCCGGACCAGACCCGAACCGCTGAACCTGAGTCGGACCGAACCCAAACCGCTAAACGCGACCAGACCGCCGAACCGACATTGATTGAACCGTTGACTAGTCCAATTCAAGTAAAAAATTTTATTATTTTTTTTAATTTATTGATTTTTTAAAATATTATTTTTGTTACTTTAAATTTTATTATTAATATTTATGCATGTTAAAATGTTTAAAATTGCTATAATAAATTTTTGTTTTTTTATAATATTGTTAAAATTTTTATAATTATGTTATTTTTAAAAATAAACCTAATAATAATACATAATTAAAAAAAATGTATGAAAGAAAATTTTTATCTGATGATGAGATTCAAAAATACTCCGAGTAGTGATACCTATGAAATCTCTAGGTGATGAGATTTTTTTTTAAATTTTACCAGTATATTGGGGTATTTATAAAAAATTTTTAATACAATAAAATTTTCTTTTGTTATAAAATAGTAAATAATAATTAATTAATAAATTAAGAATAAGTAATAAAAAATGAGAAAAAAAATTTTATTCGATGATGGGATTTTAAAAGTATTCCAAGTAGAGATGCTTTAATAAATCTTTAGGTGAGAAGATTTTTTTAAAATATTACCAGTGTATTGGAATATTTATAGAACATCTTCAATATAATAAAAAATTTTCTTTTTTTTTAATAAAAATATTAATAAATATTAATAAAATTTTTAAATAATAAAAATAAAATATGCGCGTTAACGTATTATCATTTGCATTGCATGCTCGGCATAAATTTTTTACGAAAAATAAATTTGAGCCTCCGAAGAGGAGATTCTAATGTATTCCAAGAAGTGATGCCTAAAACATTTCTAGGTGAGAAAGAGTTTTTTCAATGTTACAACGTATTGAAACATTTTAAGAATTATTTCAATAAAAAGGTTCTAATTTATTTTTCTCAAATAAAATTTGAATAATAAACCTTAAAAAAAAAAAATTTCCAATAAATGAAAAATCAAAGAAATTTTTTTTCAAACACCAAAAATAAGACTATTTTTATTAAAACCATAAGATAATATGTTAGTTAAGTGGTACCGTTTTTAAAAAAGTGCTATAGGGGTGCTAATCATTCTCTACACGTAACCGACTTTCGAAATCAAACTGTTTCGCAGACCATAAAATTATCTTTTTAATAAATTTTAATTAATTTTAAAATCTTATTAAAAGGATAAATTTTGATAGGTGGCCAATCGCGTATAGCCAAAAAAGATTGATGACGACTCCGTTTTTTTATTTTCGTTTTCAAATTCGTCAGGCAGCTCCTAAACCGTTACAACAATATTATTTAATCTAATCATATTTATAATATTATCTTATCGTATCATATTATAATCTTATATATCAAACATGATATTAATTTATATCTTTTAGTAAATTACTCTTCAAATAAAAAGGATCAAATATGTTAAATTACATATATTTAAAATGTTATAAAAATGAATTTCAGATTTTATTTAGATTAATGTAATCATGACATTTAATACATTTAAATTTTAATATTTATAATTTATTTTTTATAGTATATATTTTCTTTAAAAAAGTTTAAAAAACCAAATAAAATTATTATAATTATCAAGTAATTATACAACCTATTATACTGAAATAATATATTTTGATAAAGCATTTAATTACTAACTAAAAAGAAAACTACTATACATAAAGGATGAAACATTTTAAGTACTAACTAAAAAGAAACTTACCATTGACAAACAAGGTTTAAGAGCTTAAAAAACTTATATACAAGTAACTGCATTGACCAAAACAAATTTTCAATCCTACGTAAAAGGTTATTCAAATATACAAGAAAATTATTTTTTGTAATATAAACAAATCATAGAACCTCTTCCAAAATGATACAAAGTCCCGTGGCAATACTCTTACCCATAAAAGATGAAACTAAAAAATGGTTTTAGACTATTTGATTTTTTTTTTTTTTTTTGTGATAGGTATGTATCACTTTAAGAGAAGGCGGAAATGCAAAGAAGTGTTAATCTAACATCATCTTCAAAGAATTCCATGATTTCATTTCGTTAAAAACAATTGAAACATTACCAAAAAAAAACAAAAAACAAAACAAAAGTTTTAAACATATAATAAAATCAGTTGTAGCATTTCTTATATTAAATTAAAAATAATTTAAAATGATAAACGATATTTTAAAAATATAACAAATAATCATATCCATTTTCATCAATTTAAAAAATTTTCACATCCGCCAATAAGATCTTGATTTAGTGACAAGGAGGAGGTGTTAAAACTTTAAGGTTTTCAGTTCAAATCCCTTATGTGAATTTGATTGTTTAATTAAATTATAATTTATTAGTTGATATAATAATTAATTATATGAATATAATACTTGATTATAAATTTAATTACTTGTTACTAACTTTAGAAAAAAATTTCACATCCGTACTTATTTATATTATGTGTTAATTATAGATTACTAGAATTGAGGTTTTTTTCTCACACCAAGGTGAAATGAAATCTTTGTTCTCATACGAGGATTCTTTTAATCTTTTTTTCTCTAAATGAGGTATTGAAGCCATGTCACTGTTGTATCACTGCTTACAAGGAAAAAACTACCATATCAATTGAATTTTTCTTTTTGTTTTTGTATAAAAATTCCATTTGCTGCAAATGAATCTTGCGAGAAACCTCTTCGGGGGATACCTTCACCTTTCCAATTGACCCTATGCTGCAAATGATTCAATGTCATCATGAGGCAAGGGGTCTATCTGCTATTTTCTAATGGTTCCATTGTTAGATCCTAAGGCATATAATTCCTCTCCTGGTGAGAAACACACGCAGGGACAAACATGTTGACCCTTATTGCATGCTATCTCGTCCACAGTGTGAAAATAAAAAACACAAACCCATATATCTTCTCATCTGGCAATGAATTTACTTCCATATTTCAGTTCTAGTAAGTCTGATTTAACCATGCATGGCTTGTTGTAACTTTTCACCAACCCATCTGCAGTTGTGATGTATCGACCATCTTAACTCACTTCAGCATAGGTCACAGATGACTTAGTCTCTAGTGTTTAAATTAGTTTACCACTCGTCCATATCGTCTTAATAGTGTCTGATCACATGAATCCACACAATCGTTTTGATTGAACCAGGAGATTTGTCTTCCCTTGGAGGTGCATCTGAATGTTTCAAATCATAAATACGAAGGACTTTCTCTACTTCCCTAGTCAATAGAAGGTGTGTATCCTTTGAAAAAGAACAAGCTCGAACTTTATGCTTGTGTTCAAATGAGTACAATTCATCACCTGTTAGTGCATCCTAGACTTTCGCAGTAAAGTCAGCAAAACAGAAAGCAGCACGTAATGCATTTGTATCCAAGCAAACACTCCACAACGCACCCTAATGTCCTTCAAATGTTCCTATCCAATCTCCAGTTTCTCCATTCCTCAGCATTGGACTAGAATCTTTGCTGGCACTAATGAGGAAAAAGCCATCTAGAGTCATCGGACGGTAAAAGAGGTCCACGACGGGGTGTGAGTGGCGATGGCATACAAGTGGGACCTCAATCCTTTTCTTGTCCATGTCTTTTTTATTACAAATCAAACACCAATTATAAAAGAAATCTCTCTTTTATGATCTCCAAACAAAACAAGAAATGGCGATAGTTTAACGCAAGTGGGAAGACGTTTTGATTAGTGGGATTTGGGATTTGATTGCATTAATCCTCCCCTACCCTGGACCTTGAGCATTGAGCAGGATGATGATGATGCAAAAACGTTATGGAAGATTTCGAAAAAACTATTCTGTTACAGGAATCTAAAGTACAGGGAGTGAGTGGCCATGGCATACAAGTGGGACCACAATCCTTTTCTTGTCTATCTCTTTTTATTACAAATCAAACATAAATTGTAAAAGAAATCTCTTTCTTTTATGATCTCCAAACAAAACAAGAAATAGTGATAGTTTAATACAAGTGGGAAGACGTTTTGATTAGTGGGATTTGGGATTTGATTGCATTGATCATCACCTACCCTGGGCCCTGAGCATTGAGCAAGATGATGATGATGCAAAAATGTTATGGAAAAATTAGAAAAAACTATTCTTTTACAGGAGTCTACAGTCAGGCACAGAGTATCGGGAATCAAAGGACCAAACTACATAATATTTTCTGCACTCATTTTAAAAAATTCTAGAAAAAGAAAATCGGGTAATATATAAAATATCAAAAAGGTGGAGCTTCCAATGGAGAATATATTTTCATAAACATTACCCAAGCATGGTTCTATATAATCTAATCTTGTCGTTATAGCTCTTGCAATTTAAAAAGTCAAGTTGGTTGCTTCTATAGACGATAATAGATGAGGGGCTGATAGCTCTGAAAACTAATATCCTATCGACCCAAATGCACATCTCAATGAAAATTAACTTATGAGCTTTAACAAAATCTCTCTGTTGTGATCACCAAAATAGAAGATGGATAATTGTTTGCAAACTTAAAAAAAGGCAAAATCAAGTGTTTAGCATGGCAAAATTGATCTTTCTGTTGGTGACCTAGATAAATAATGAAAAAGTGAAGAAAAAGGAAAATGAAAAAAGTTTTAATGGTCAAGTGACAGTTTTTGCCACTTAAGCATTTAGACGGTTTATGTGGCTTGAAATACCTTATTTAGGGAAAAAAAGATTAATGCTATCCCCATTTGGGAATAAAGTTTTCAATGCATCTTGATATGGGAAAAAACTCACTAGAATCGATTCTCTCATTATGCTACAGGAGCTTTTTTGGTTAAAAATGTTATCATCTAAAATATTTGGTTATTCTGGTAAAAAAAAGTGTTTGATTATAATGGATTTATCAATTCAAAAGTTTTAAGAAGCTCATTATAATTAACCAACAAACACTCAAATTGAGACTCAAAATAATAAGACCAAAACTCAAATACCCAGCTTTTGAGAGTTATAGAACTTGATCTAAACCCATTCAAAGTTAAGCCGAAATACCCATCGGCAGAATTTGATACAAATTTCAGAGGTAAGCCCAAAAACCCAAAAATTGATACATATTAAGCCCAAATATTCTCACCACAACCATTCATAATTTCATGGAATTCTTTTAATCTTATTCAAACTTAATTGCATAAGGTTTTGATTGATTTAGAGGAAGCTTTTCAGTGGATGAGACTGCTCAAATTGGAGATAATGGTCCCTTTGAGAACTGGTTTCAACTTTTGATGGCATAGTCAGTTGCCCCAGTTGACTACCCGATCGATAGAAACCAATGTTGAAATAATCAAAATGACCAAAACTATGAATATAGGAGCTCTACTCGCTATTGTTAAACTTTCAATTACCAGAAAAATGGGATTATATATGCATTCATTGCCAGAAGTTCTCGTAGAAAGTAGCATATCTGAAGTTTTTCACTGGCTTGGAACCTCCTATAAATGACAGAAACAAAGCCAGCAAAGTCAGGATCACAAAAGTCGCATATATGAAACGGAGATTGGCAGTCCTGGGTAAGAATAGAAATAGCAAGCAATTTGGTGACCCCTCAGACTTTGGAGAACTTGGTTTCTCGATTGAGATCTCACCAACAACACGTTCTGATGGGTTGGCAGAGAGAATATCTGCTTCAGGCCTCCTCAATTTGATTCTCCGGTTTGCTGTGCCCTGGAAATGGGGTACATTTTCTTGCCTTGGCTGCTGAGGCCTTCTCTCAGCATCAGAAGTGATGGCAGTCATAGGCAAGATGTCTGGTGTTGCTGACAATGAAGTTTCATCAAGCTTGATTATATCATCTTTTAGTATCTCAGCAAAGTAATCGTCTTCATCATCAGAATCCTGAAATTTAAGCAAAACAATATCAGAATGCTGTATTTTGCCAATCATGTACAATTGACTTCAAATGCCTGGTGATCGATGAGTTGAACCTATAGTGTGATACAAGGATAAATTTTTATGAACAAACCTTCTGAGGTGTAGAAGATTCTGTTGGTCCAACATCATTTGAAAGTTTTTGCTCAGATTCAGATGCAGAATCGATTTGCTCTATAGAATGAGAATCATAACTAGTAGTAGCCTTGTTCGAATAGAGTTCAACTGCCTTGTCCCCTTCAGACATGCCAGTCTGATCAGTACCACCATCTGAGGTAGCAGGGTTGCTGTCATTCACAATTGACAACTGCTGTTGATTCCAAGGAGCGCGATTTGAAGTGTTTTTCAGACCAAAGTCACTAGTCTTCCTAAGGCGGCAAACAACTAGGGAATCCTACAAATTCAGAAAGAAAAAGATACTAATGTTTGCCCCCCGAAAATCTACATGATAAAATAGAATATTATAAACTCCAAACATCTTATAGACTAGCAGCAGTTCTGGAAATTAATATTTCGAGATGAATTGATGACTAAATGTTCCCCATCAAAAACAGAAGAATAGCAATGCAAATAACCCCTGAATTAATTGACCAAATCAGCCTACAACTATTACTCAAAAACAACAGCAGGAAATATCAGAATCATTTAGTGAACCCCCTACAGAGCTTCAGAATTTCTAAATGGAATTTTGAGCTCAAATCAATGAACATTGACTACATGTATGTATCAACAAGGCTAGACTACAAACTTGACCCTGCAATACATTTCTCCCTAATAGAAGGCCATGGCAACCATTACCATAGTCCTTAGATTAATTACCCTTTCCTGTTATTAGATTATTCCACTAGTCTATTTACACATAGTTTCGAATTTGAGACACCAACTCGTCAGCTTATGTTGTCTTTGAAAAAAGAGCTCCAGTAGAATAGGTTCTATGGCTTCTAAAACAAATATTAGCTTTGCAAGAATTTTGTGAACATTGTCAAAGAGTTCTACTTAAAATTTTAGGATAATTTTTGGCCAAAAGCATTCAAGATTATGGTATTCATAGAAAGTCAGTTTCGACTAGAAACCTTAGTATTTGCTAACTGTCAATGACTAACACGAGCAATTCTTGTTTGTACCTTTTAACATAAGCAATTATTGTTTGTATCTTTTAATATAAATTATTCGGAAACAGAAATCTTGTGTTTTAAAGGACCTTCTGCATTTTCAAACCATTTTCCAGAACCCCATGCCTACCACGGGAAAACCCTCGTGAAAACACAGACAAATAATTGAATAAATAACAACAGAAGCAACAACTACAATAATTCAATAACATGTCCTAGGGTATGTAGTCATTGCAAATATGTTAAAGAAAAATACTTTTCTATAACATTAACATCTTAGATAAAAAATGCCTTTCTTTGGATTCAGCAAAATTCAACAACATAAATATATACAAGCTAGATGAAAACTATCAGTAGATCCAATAATTATAAGACAAATCACCTGCGATTTTCCATTCATGCAGTATTCATGCATGATCCATTCTGTCCTTTCCCCTTTTGGTGCACGACCTGTGTGGAACACGAGAGTCCTCTTTGTACCAATCACATTAGAACCTGACTTCACATTACGTTCTTTCCCTGTGGCTTTCCAATAACCCTGTTCAGTTGCCCGCCTACTTTGTGAACCATTTGGATATTTCCGTCCACGAGCATAAAAGAAGAACCACTCATTATCTGACTTTATGATGGATTTGGCTGAGAAGAGAAAAGCACCAGAAATCAGTGACTATAACCCAGGGAAAATAAAATCCGTGAATCAATAAGAGAATTCTACTAGAATGAAAGCAATTATCTGCAGCACCAAAAGGACAGCCTAGATGCTAAAAGCATAATGTGCAACAGAATAAGAAACCAAGATAAGTTTCAGCATGCCACACACAACTGCATCATGGATTTTATGAGCATCTAAAAAAATTGTTAGTGTATGACTGTACGTAAATAATCCAACGAAGAAATTTGTAAATGAAACGTTTTAGGTACTTCCTCTAGTACCTAAAAGGAGCAAAGATGAATTGTGGTATTACAAAGGATTACCAAGAATATGTAATTAAAATTCTGATCTCCAGGAAAAGTAGAAAAGATCCTACACTTAACAGCTGCTAGGCTTATTCGCTTTAACAAATCTCAACATCCACATGCAAATTAGGGTTCCATTCTTCCTGCTACATCAATTTTATTTGTGTTTTAATCAATGCATGCAAATCATTTGAGAAAATTTTGAACAACACCAAATATAAAAGACGATCAAAGTCCTTCCAGGGAACTTAGCAGAAAATTTTGTGACCTTCTTTACAGGAAGTAAAACAACCTACAACAAAACTCAAGTTTAAAACAGAATCATACATGGAGATATTGACCAGGCATCAATAAAACTCTCAAATTTAAACCTTCAAATAAACATGATCCTAATTAGATAACAATTAGGGCCACCTTGGCCTCTGCCATTGAAAATGGTAATTTCTAGAGCATGGGAAGAGAGGACGATAGTCACAGATATAACTTAAATGTTATTTCTCCTAACCTCTAAATTCTTCCAAACATTGAAGAACTCAATTCATTAAGTAAGCCTCTCACGGAAATTTGAAACATATTAAAAGTTTTGCTAAGGCTAAGTTGCTTGCAACCTTATAGATTCCGTCAAGTTTATGCAGAGCCATAAATTCTAAAGGACTACAAAACTTAGTGCAAAACTAGAATAATCCTCAAAACCACAAACTCGGCAGGAAAAAAGAATGGCCAGCTTATAAGTAGTATTGCCAATTTGGCATCATATTCAGTTTCATATAGATATCTTCCCCTCTGTCTCTTTTTTTTTTCCTTACTCTGTTTCTAATTGAAAAGGCAGTCAACTCAACTACAAAATACAGACTGTAACAGTGCAACATACATGCTTCTAAAATATTGTAAAATAAATAATAAATAACAAAAAGTCTGTGCCTATGCTTTCCATCCCATTTTATAAGAAACGAAAATAGCATCCCATTTCATATGCTAAATGCAATAGCGTATCATATTGGAATTTAAAAACCAAAAGCCAAAATGTAAGGTTTAAAAGAAGCAAACCTGGCAAGTCCCAAGGCTCTTGTCCACAAATTTGAATCTCAGAAATGACCTCAACACACTTCTCATCGCCATCCAGCTTCTTTTTCAAGTAATAAGAAATCAATTCAACATCAGTTGGTGAAAACCTAAACCCTGGAAACATTGAAGACGCCTCTATAGTCATCTGGGTTTCTCTTGAAACTCCTTCACCTGCCATGACCGAAGCAAAAAGCAAAATGCAAACTTGCCCTTCTCCTTGTTCTTTTACTTCTTGTTTGTTGTTATGTTTAATACTAATCGGAGCAATAAAAAAAAAAAAGGGCTTTGTTTGTCCTGTTTAGTATAGTATGATCTTTTTCTTTTAGGTTTCTTTTGCTTTTGCTTTCAGTTTTGTTACTTTCGGCATCGAGGAAATGGATGAAAAGAGAGTATGTCTAAGTAAAGTTGTGCTTTGCTTTGCTTTGCCTTTCGGTTTTGGTTGTTGCTGTGTTTGTGAGTTTTGCATATGGACTGGAAGGGGGGACAAATTTTTTTTTTTAGTTCAAACGAGTACAATGCCTTATCACATAAAAAAATTTGATTCGAACCCAATTTTTTTTTTTTTTGAAGATTTTTTTTATCATTAGATCAAAAAGCGGAAGACAGGAATGGGGGACTGATGTCTGATTTTTTGTGAAACTGCGGCGGAGTGATGGGCACGTTGACAGTTCATACAGACCGCGTTCGTCATGCGGCGTCCCACGTGGTTTTGGATTTTCCTTGTTTCGACTCATTACTCATGCAACATTTTTTGTTTTTCTTTTTTCTTATATTAGTATTTTATTTTTATTCACAATGATAGAAAAGAAAAAGGTTTAGATCAATTTGGCATACGTTCGAAGTAAGTACATTTACAAATAAACCACTTCATTGGACCTGGGTTGGTTATGTTCGGATCAAATTTAGGCATCTGACTTGATAAGACATCTACACCTTATTTCATAATTTCAAATAAAATATAATAATGTGATATAAAAATAATATTATTTAAAAATTTAATAAATTATATAATTAAAATTAAAATATATATTTTATATTTTTATATTAATAAAAATTATTATATATAAATTTTGTGTAAAATATAATATAAATATATAAATAATTAATTTTTTATATTATATAGATATACAAATTAACAAGTCTACCTAAAACTGATCATGTGCTGTTCAACATAAATTGTTTTTAGTGTTTGCTAGTTACACAAACCTCAACAATTATGCATAGACATATTTATCCTATTCTTTAAAAAAAAAAAAAAAAGAGATACTCAAGGGTCGGTTTATTGTAAAGATTCATTTTATAGTTGAGAAGATTTAAATAAAAATATTAAGTTTATTAAATACGTTTGAGAAAAAAATATTACGTTATCAATATTTTAAATTTAAAAAATAAAAAAGATAACGATATTAAAAATTAAATAAAATATTATTTTTTATTTTTTATTTTTTTATAAAAAATCTAGAATAAAAAGTGGATATGACACTTTCTTCCTTACCAAGGTAATTTGATACACATTTGTTTAACACTAATTGGTCTTTCTAATTATATCCTCCCAATATGATTTTCAAATTTTCAGCGTTTGTCAATGGTAAAATGCAAATCAAATTCTTCAATCTTCAATGTATTTTACCTTATTCACTCGAAAGTTGTCCTGTGTTCAAGCAGTGCTAAGCAAGCAACGTTGGTTAATTGGTTCGCTTGCTATTAAAGGATTTTGCATTCAAGCATTGATCTTATCTAAAATGTCAATTTTTTCAGCCAGTGTAAGAATTGTCTACTTCTGATCTATAACACAGGGTTTTAGATTCAAGTGTTGATAATTTGTCATTGATGTTTCTCTAAAATGTAGATTTCTTTTTTGTAAAGATAACTAGATTGTCATAAAAAGAAAAAGAAAGAAAAAAAATGACTAAATGAGTATAAATAGGGGGTCTAAATTAAAAGAGCTTTTGACGAATTTTTTATGATTATATTTGATTTTTTATTTTATTTATTAAATTTAATAAATAAATTTTAATAATATTTTTATGTTTATTTATTAAACAAATCAAATATGAACAAAGATATGTTTTGCTCATTTATGTTTGTAAATAAAATTATTTAAAATTTGTTTAAAACTCATTTGTTTATTATTGATTTATACTAATAACAAATTTATATTTTTACTATTTATCCGAATTTTATTTTAAGGTTCGTTTATATTCGTTTGGGTTTATTTACATTTGTTTAGGGTTCATTTATTTAAATTTATTTTGTTATGATTTAATTATTGTTTATTAACATGTTTATTTATATATATTTGTGAACATATTCGTTTAATATTAATGAATGAGTTTATTTAATTTAATCAAATCATATACGAATCGAATGTGATATTTTACCATTTAAACGAATAATGAACTTTAACAAATAAAGCAATTTTTTTACTGAACATGAATCGAGCTCGAAAACCTTTAAAAATAAATAAACAAGCTATAGATATATATTTATTCGTTCATATTTAGTTCGTTTACAGCACTAAATATAAAAATTATACATTTAGCATGTGTTTGATATACAAAATTATTATAAAATAAGATAAAATGATATTATGTGTAAGATTAAATTAAATGCTATCATTCTATTTTATATTTAATATGTGCAAGAATTTGGATAGAATAATTTTATTTATTAATCAAAATTATTCTTACTCAAATTTATATAATTTGAATTATTAATATAATTTAAAAAATATAATAAGATATATAAATTCAATCTCATAAATTTTTAAAAATATTGGATCATCTTATATCAAAAGCATGATTAATTTTTTTTTGAAATCTTATTCTTTTCTTTTGATACATATCAAATATAATTTATAACAATTATTATCTTATTTTATCTATTACCGTATGCACTAAATACCTTTGGTCTTGATCTAGGGATTGAAAAAGTTAGCAGTGAAATTTGTAGGCTCATAGCTACTAACTAAGGAGTAGGGGAGATTTCTTTTTTTTTTTAAACTGAAGTTATTAGAATTTGACATTAAAATTAAAAGTTTAATATTTTATTAATATATTACGTGATTATTATAAAATTTTAAAAAAATTTAATTAATAAGGCTTCGTTTAATTAGTATTTTTACTTTTTGTTTTTTGTTGAACCAAAATTAAATAGTAAAAGCATTACATTTTCATTTTGATTGGTATTTTTTTTTTTTAATTTTTTTCTTTTGATTTTTATTAAAAGTAAATAATAAAAATATCAAGTCTAAGTAGTAAATAAAAAATATGTCCATGATGAATAGTTGTTGGTTTCATTTGGGAGGGGAACAACGTTAACCGCAGCTACCACCAAACATGGCATACACATTATTCATTAATCAATCAACCCATGCCATGCCATGAAGAAAACAAATTTGAAAAGCTTACACACGCACACGCACACGCACACGCGCGCACACACACACACACACACGCTTTTTTTTAACATAAAAAACAGTACGTCACTAGTTATAGAGTATACGATGATTATCCTCCCAGCATTATAATTTTAAATTGTTAGTCAATGGTGCATTGCAAATCAAATTCCCCTATGTTCGATATAGGTTGCCTTGGCTTCAACCAGAGGCACGATCATCCAACAAATAATTATACTAACAACGTTGCTTAATTGATTAATTTATTTTTTTCATAACAAATCATAATATGAAAAAAATTATAAATATTAAATTTAAAATTTAAATTATGAAATATTATTTTTCAAAAAAATAATTATATGAATCAAGTTAAATTTCAGATTCAATTCATTTATTTTTCAATAATAAAAATTTTTAAATTTAAGTATTAATAATCTTCCGTAAATATTATCTAAAATGTAAGTTTTTTTTCCTCATTAATAAAAGTTTTAAATTCGAATTTTATTGATTTTTTATTGACATTGAGGTTATTAAAGATTAAATTTTAACCTAAAATTAAAAATTTAATAATTTATTAGGAGATCACTTAATTTTTGGATTTAAGTCATTATAAAATTGGTGAATTTGCAATTCCTATAAGAATTGAAAGTGTTAGTAGTGTAAACGAAGTTCGTTGAATTGATAAGTATTGAATATTTAATTAATAAAATTTAGATTTAATTTTTGTTATTAATAATTTTTTTAGATAGTCTATAAATCTAATATAAATAGTTATCTAAAATTTTATGTAAAAGTAATTAATAATAAAATTGGATAGCCTTAGATCTAATAAGAGTGATGTTATTCGCAATTAAAGATATAAACGAATTTGACATTTTACAAATAATTTATAAATAAATTTTTATTTATTTATTTATTTATTAAATTTAACAAATCAATATAAACAATATTTTAAAATTTATTTATTAAATAAATTGATTATAAATATAATAAAGTTTATTCACGTTAAATTCATGAACATCGGAATCCGCAGCCCCAAACGAAACTAACGTATTACACACGTTCACTCAAACCACAATGCATGTGATTTTCTATGAAGTAAAAAAAAAAAAAATGGAAAGCAAATGCAATTTGATTAGAATAGGAAAATACTGATAACGCGCTACTGCCACTAATCTAGAAAGCTCTGAGAATCCAAAGGCCAAAACGGCTAAGAACTTCTGAAATCAAAACTCCTTTCCAGCCTCAGCCTTTATTTAATCTACGACAACTTCCATTCCATATGTAAACTTCTCCACTAGCGGACAAACAAACGACAACTCAACTTCCAACCACAAAATGTCAGTAGTCCCCGCCCCACAACCTGAACGACCGCTCTTTGCCGAGGTCGGCATGGGTGGCGACGCCTCCACAGCTATCGTCCGGGCAACCGTGGTCCAAGCTTCAACCATATTTTATGACACGCCTGCTACTTTAGAAAAGGCGGAGAGGTTGTTGGCTGAAGCAGTGGGGTACGGGTCTCAGCTGGTGGTTTTCCCTGAAGCGTTTATAGGTGGATATCCACGTGGCTCCAATTTTGGTGTTACCATTGGGAACCGAACTGCTAAAGGGAAAGAAGAGTTCCGGAAGTATCATGCTTCAGCTATTGATGTTCCTGGTCTGAATCATCTAACACTTACTTCTTTGTTTTCAATTGTTTATGTTTTTATTATTGACAAGACAACTAATCGCTAATGTCTTTTTTGAGGTGATAATGTGAATGGATGATGTTTTGGCCTGAAATTTACATTGTTGTTATTGGGTTGATATGGAAAAGCTTCTTCTCGCTTTTTTTTTCCCTCTGAATTTTACTAATGAGTTTGTGAGATATTGTTTAATTCAATTGTTTTGATTGAACACATTGAAGGCTTTTACATCCAATGTTGGCGGAAAAAAAATTAAGACTCTCTTTGAATTCGAATCATGAGGAGGGGCGTTGTGATTTATAAAATGGGAGAGAGCTATTTCCTGTTAAGCTGTTTAAGTCCATTGGATTTTTTTCTGTGGAGGAAACAAAAAGGTCATTTTGGGGGTAAAAGGAATTCCTTTGAGAACATTCTATGACTTATATCGTGCTATGTGCCAATGAAAATGTTTCCCTTCTCTTCTCTTTTTGGTTTGTTTAATGACGAGATTGACTGGCATAAACATTTCCTGCTGACTGCTGGTAGATGCAGAACTTTGCATTAGTTCTAATTTGGTTAGATCGTATGCAATATTCGTATTTGTTGATGGTGTTTTTGGTGAAGGTGAGTTGGAGGATGAACTGGGAGGTGAGTTGGGGTAATCCGGATCTGCAGCAAGAAAAGTATGGTCAAGGTGCGCTGAAGTTCGATCTTCGGGGCACGTTCCGGTTCCGATGCTCAAATTAGCAAAGTGTATGATATTAATGTTAAAGGGGAAGAAGATGAGTTGTAGAGAGTATTGACGCTCAAGGATTAAGGGTTTAGAAAGGTGTACCTGGCCCTCCTTTTACCTTATTTTATGAAACATGGTGACGTAACCTGAGTAGGTGGCAGTTGATGGGAAGTTCATAAGGGTCTACATGATAAGTGTCACATGGATAAGTGTGGGATGCATTGAATGATTTCAGGCAAGTTGGGCTACCATGAGGTGACCTACTGATGTGACATTAGTGAAAGTTGTTGGGCACCTGTCTTCGTGAGCGAGGAAGTATTGGTAGGCGAGCAACTCAGGGTGAGCCCATATGAAGCGCTTAGAGCCTGGGCATCGATCTTCCCGTGTGGTGATGTGGAAGTTGAGCATGTGCTGACTTGGTGAGCATGGGTGTTGACCTGTTGACTAGGCAATTAGGCGTAATCGTATTAAATCAAGAACTGAATTTCTGCGTTCAAGTTTTCTTGGAATATAAAGTCTGTAAACAGTTTGATTATGATACTGTGGTAGTACTATTTTATTTTTATGCGTTTGTAATAGTTTTCAAAACTCTTTGTACATTATCATCCTTTTCAGTTTGCAAATCTATTTGGAACTTGTATTTATCAACCAAAGTATGTCACTCTGTTTCACATCTTGTTTCATATCTGTGGCTTATGCTTTGGCAGGTCCCGAAGTTGACCGTTTGGCAGCCATGGCTGGAAAGTATAAAGTATACTTGGTAATGGGTGTGATAGAGAGAGATGGATACACTCTATATTGTACAATTCTGTTTTTCGACTCACAGGGTCGATTTCTGGGGAAGCACCGAAAGATCATGCCCACGGCATTGGAGCGTATAATTTGGGGATTTGGAGATGGATCAACAATTCCAGTTTTTGAGACTCCAATTGGAAAAATAGGTGCTGCCATTTGTTGGGAAAATAAAATGCCACTTCTAAGGACAGCAATGTATGCAAAAGGTTAGATTTTTGGACCTTCACTTACATTCTAATGCTGAAGTACATATTGCGCCAATGCACGGCAAATATAACTTTGACAGCAACCTCATGCTTTTCTTCAAGCTGCCTGGTTTATAATAATGTTTTCCTCTTTCATTTTTTTTTTTTTTTTTGGAGTGAACATCTATTTTCTTTTCCCTATTTTGGGTTGGAAAGGATATTTGTTATGGGTTCTAGCTTAAATACGAATACCCCATAACTAGAACCTTTGGCTAGTGGCTGGAGCGTTTTAGGAAGTTGGCTGTTGTCTACTTTATGATCACTATGCTAGGAATGAGCTTTTGTATGAGAGAGCTGATGTGATATGTGGATTAACTTGAAATTTTGGTGCAATGTTTGAGTTCAAGTAGTTGTCTGTTTATTCTCTATTTCCCCATCATTTATGCCAGCAAGCAGGTGCAAAGCTTTTGTTGAATGCAGGAGTGTCAGTCACCAGATAGTGGATACTTGATTATGTTAGGCCCAAGTTAGTCCGAAATCAGCATATTCAAACTCCAAAGAATTGTGGGCAAAAAAAAAAAATCCAAGAATTATCTAGCTGCAAAGATTTAGTTTTGCAGGATTTACTCAACATCGATTTAGAGAACTGTCATGTTTCAGCTCCTAGAATTTGTGTCATTGTACCTTTTCTCCCTCTTATGTTTTTCCGGAAGAAAAATTACCTTCTAATGAAATGTAGGTGTGATCATCGATCTCATTTATTCTACAAGCAACATTTATGGAAACCACTTTTTGAGCTTTTTAGTTTAGCTTATCATATTTTTATGCCTTAACTTTGCAAGGCTTTAATGTTTGCAGGTATTGAAATATATTGTGCACCTACTGCTGATTCAAGGGATGTGTGGCAAGCATCAATGACCCATATTGCTCTTGAGGGTGGGTGTTTTGTTTTGTCAGCCAACCAATTCTGTCGGAGGAAAGACTACCCTCCTCCTCCAGAATATCTGTTTTCTGGGACAGAAGAGGAACTCACTCCAGATTCTGTTGTATGTGCTGGTGGGAGTGTCATTATATCACCATCTGGAGCTATTGTGGCAGGACCCAACTACAATGGGGAGGCACTTATATCCGCAGATCTAGGTTTGTATAGTATTCTCTGATTATCTCCTAAAGTTTCTTTCTAACCTGGCCAAAGCATGCTAGATTATCTACATTTGGCTGTTTCAGGGAGAATGTACTAGAGCAAATATCTGAACTTATTAACCAACCATCAAGAATATGGTTATTTTCAGAATATGGCCATTCAGAATGTCTTAAGTTATCATTTAGCACCCAATACGATGGGTGTGATGGAGAACAATATTCTCAAGGTATTGATGAAAAGTAAGACCAATAGTCCAAGGTGCTATTTCTCTTGGACTTGGGCTATTGATGATCCCATGTCTCTTGAAATTCTTGAGACACTAGTTTCTGTGTCAAAGGGTGCAGTGGAAGGTGACCACCAACGCAATGTTGAGAATGGATTTTGTGATACATTTTGAGATGTCATGTTACCCATTAAGCCCTTTGTGCGTGCGTGTTTGTGAGAGAGAGAGAGAGAGAGAGAGAGAGAGAGAGACTAGTTTTCTAACAGACTATACCTACTACCTACTAGATTTTTCAAGTAAAATTATTCGAGTTTCAATCCCTGTAAAATTACTGTATCTGGGCGGTAAGTTCATGCTGTAGGGTTTAATCTCTTTCTCTTGTCTTCTCTCCTCAGTTCATGTCTGTGTTTTTGTGTGTGTGTCTACATCTGCATGTCTCTCTCTCGCGTCTGCCTGTCCAAGTGCTTGTAGGCAGGATTACTCTTTCTGATTGATTGCGTCCTTTACATGTTTCTTCTCGACTGGTAATATTGAGTGTACTAAAGCTTAGCATGATGTCCGCAAACTTGGATTTTAATTTTCTTTGGTGACTAACTTATATTAATGACATAACCAAATGACTCCCAGATCTTGGAGAAATAGCACGCGCAAAATTTGATTTTGATGTGGTCGGTCATTATTCAAGACCAGAAGTGTTTAGCTTGATTGTGAGAGACCAACCAGCAAAGCCAGTCACTTTAACATCAGCACCTGAAATAACCGAAGACGCTCATCACAAATAGTTGCGGTCTTATTTTATATGTTGCCTCTGTAATAATCAGATGAATAAAAGTTCTATAAAGCCATCTGATGACTGTTATATTTTCCTGTATCATATTTGTAATGTCTTTCGACTTTTGATAAAAATTCATAAGTATAAAATTACTTTGTGATCATGTGCATCTCCTCTAATGTTAAGAATCAGTAATGATACAAGACTTGCTTCTGTGAATCTCACATGATTTTACTTCCTGGATAGCTGCTACACCAATGCAGTTTATTTTCTATTAGTATCAATACTTTTGACTGCCAAATTTCTTGGTTTGAACGTTTATTTTGGACTTCATTAATTTTTTTTTTTTATAAAGAAGGTTGTAGTTTAAAGATAGAAAAAGAGATTCAAAGCGCTAAGATTTGAATTCTATTTTAATTTTTGACTGACTAAGCATTAACAGTTACTTAAACTTGGCTCAAATAGTAAGAATGCAGTGATGTTTGATTTGAGATTCTAAATTCGAGTCATGGTGTGTTCTTGTGCAGAAAGAAAAATATTAACCATTAGGAGTTGAACGTTTAGGTTAATAGATCAAGTGCCCGACCAAAAGAGAAGAGCCAACATGAACTGTTGACCAGTACACAACCAACTGAACCAAAAGCTTGGGTGGTACTTTTATACTTCAATTATCGGAATTGAGCCATGATTCAATACCAGTTCAGCGATGGAAATGTGTCCAGCCAATGCTGGTTATTGGTCAAATAATTCAAGATGAGACTTGAAAGGATGACCCTTGGGGCCTGGAGAATGAAGAGATGAGAAAATGGTTTTTTACGAGGAAAAACGACAATGTTGAGTTATCATACAAGTCATGTGAGCTGTTGGAATTTTGTCAAATGTATATTCTGAAAGAAATTCTTTCCACACAATTTGACAGGATAAAGTCACATGGCTGATGGTGACAATATGTATGGTGGTATATATAATACATATAATACCAAGTAACATGTTGGAAATAATTGAGAATAATATACAATATTCTTTAATTATTTTATTTCTTGGGGTATTATAAAATGGTTAATCTTAATCCTGTCTCAAACATCATCTTATTTTGCCTAAGTAGAGCCACATGAAGTCTTCACCACTATATAATTGACTAGTGGTTGGTCATCACAGTTAGACTTTGGTTGTCAGAATTTGACCAAAAATACAAATAAATTGAGAATAAAACAGAACAGAAAGGTTAAAAACTAGGCTGCCAATTGATCAAAGAGTTAAAGTTCAAAAGAAGACATAGAAACCCTTAGCCTTTTCATGTCTGAATCTCTTAAATTCCATTTCAGCCTTAGCAGAGTACTTCAACCCACATGGATTGCTGGACGGTACATAAACCCAAATAATGGTTGGAGCTAGCCGTTATGAATCAGTTTCTATGTCAGAATTTAAGAACGGTGCAGTGGAACTGACACTAGGAGCTCAGTCTAGAGGTTGCTATGGCTCAAGATTTATGGTTCAAAAACCCTGGGGGAGAAAGACATGAGAGACTGCTATTTTTAAAGGAGCTCACTACTATTGTAGACCTTTGAAAATTGCTTCTTTTACGTAGAAATTGTTTTACAATTCTGAATTGTGGTGCTTCAATTGTAGCAAACCTTTTTGTTCTACATAAAGAGGCATTTAAGGGAAATAAAGAAAAGCAATTCAGAGATGCTGCCAAACCGTGTGGTCATAGCACAATTTGTATCCATAAATTATACCAGATTCATACAGCCTAACAGTCTATTTACAGTCTCGTTTTTTGAAGTTTGGCAATTGATCGAAACAAATTAACCAGTGAGAATGTTTGAATTTCAAGAAAATGCAACAAAGCATTAGTCAGGAAAGCAAAAGAAAAAATAAAAAATAAAACAAGTTTCTCCTTTCTTAGCTTGTTGAAGTTCAGCCTTCACCTCTTGTGCCAACTAGCTTAGGCTTCAAACCATCTCCCTTTAACACAGGTGAGCCTGTGCTGCCGGGCTCTGGAAAATGCATGGACATGCTCCACTGCCGGGTTGGACTTGAAAAGCTTTGGATAGGTGCTATTTTATTACTAGATAATATGTGATCTCTAAGACTCTTCACTGATCTGTATCTTTTGAATTCATCTTCACAATCCTGTGCTTGAACTTGTGAAGCAGGATTGTATGTCTGATCCTTCTCAAACCCATCTAACTTTTCCTGGCTTTCAAGGCCGAAGTCCCAATCTGTAGAATTTGAACTTCCTCTTTCTAAGCAAATACTTCCCCATGATATTTTCTCAGAGAGAGATTTCCCCCCCCTATTTTCTTTTTCAACAGAAATCCTCTTCGATTCACCTTCAACATAATTTCCACTAGCATAACTCCACTTATAGCTCCTGTCATTATTGTCCATATTTAATTCAATGGAGTGAAGATCACTATCATCTGAGTCATCTGCTTCACACTCTTCTCCATTCACAACTTCACATTTATCCAAATATTTCTCTGATGCTTCACAGGATCCAAAATCAATATTCTTCAAATAAGCTTCAAGCTCTTTGATCCTCTGCAGATTCGGCGAACCATCACTGTTTTCTTCATCCATTTTGGTTGCTAGATATGCCTCAAGTTCATTTCTCAACTTTTCGACAACTGCATTCTTCTCCTCAAATTGATATTTAGCCTCAGAAAGCTTCATCTGAACTCTCTCCTCTCGTAATACATCAGCAAACTGAAGCATTTCTCTTTCCTTCTCCACTTCTTCCCTCACTTTAGCTGACTCTCTTTTCAGTTCTTCAACCGTGGCTCTATCTTCTCCAATACCTCTAGCCAACTCATCACATACTTGCTCCAATAATTCTTTTGCCCCCTTCTCATTCTCAACCTCTTTTGTTGCCTCTGTCAGAGATGCCTTTGTATCTGCCAATTCTTTTCCAAGCTTCTTGTTCAATCTCTCAGTTTGCCTCCTGATTTTCTTCTCTACCGCAAGCTCTTCTGCTATGCATGCTATGGCATCACGAATTCTCTCACGCTCCTTTCTCTTCCAAGCTGCCTTTTCTTCTGCAAAATGCCTCATGAGGTACTCAATTTCATTGCGATTAGATCGTTGCTCTCTCATCAATTGATCAACTTGGATGTGGACTCTATCGAGTTCAACACGCAGGGCAGATACAAGGGACATGACTGATGAATGTTGCTCATCAAGACCACAAATATGATTCAAAACTTTTAGGAGTTCTTTAGACGTGGTTAGGCCATTACTGACATCCTTTAAACGAGTTCTAATTCCAATTATGCATCCAGCATGATTTTTACCCCTAGAATGAGTTTCAATCTGCATTCATGGCATAAAATCAGTGAAAAGATTTTTACTTACTTTTCCTAACTTTTCCTATTTCCCGCAAAATAAGGATTCAACTCCAAGTTTATTGCAGCAAATTCTCAAGTAGCAAATGAAATTACTCAAGGCAAAATATATTCCCTCAAACCAACAAAAAAGAAGCCAAGGCAATGCTGATGTATCAAAATTCTTTAATCAGTATCTTATAATATTACCCAAATATAAAAAAAATAAAACAACACAACTGAAAACGTTTGATTTGCAATAAATTATAAAATGCAGATTTTGGAGGACAAAGAGCCTGTCGGTTAGCAATTCAAAACCTTCAGAAACATATCTAATACACATACCTTGTTAAAAATGAAATGGTGAATATTTCTGTGCAGATGTCATTATCAATGTTCCATTTCTATTTTCAAAATAACATAAAATCGACTCTTAAAACAAGTCTAAAATATGAATTCCCAGCTGCAAACCTTGGAGAGAGAGCCATTTTTGAAAAAAAAAAAAAAAACAATAGAACATGCATTTGCCAAAATATTATATGTCTAATTCTCTCAGTTTCTTTTTTTTTTGGTACCAAGTTTCTTTTTCTTTGTATATTCTCATAATTTTTTTCTTTTAAAAAAAATTGCTGAAATGACACCTAACAATCCCTGACTGAAAAGGAAAAAATTGAAAATTAATTCAAAAGTGTTTTATCACCTCCATCACTCTAGCATTGCCAACAGAGTCCAAGCTCCCCAACTTATAATCAGTTACTTGAAGATTTTGAGAAACAACAGAAGCCCTTCTCCTATGAGATTTGGTTCTGGCTCGATCCATCTTCTATAAAATTCAAAAGCAAAACCAAAGAAAATCACCAAAAGAACACAAAACTTTCAATAAGATTTTTAAAACAATGTTTCCAAACCTTCAAATTGATAAAAAGCATAAGAAACCACCTCTGAAATAGGACTATAAGATGGATCAGACAAATTTGGCGGCAAAGTATGAGCCATTTTTGCAACTCTAGGCGCTTTTCTCCTCCTATCTTTCTTGTCCAACTCTTCCTTAGCTTGTGGGGAAGGGATTGCATTAATCTCCCACAAAGTGGCAGCAAGTTTCCTAGCAGAAACCGAGGCTTCTTTGGTTTTGGTAACAGTCTTTGGTGAAACCGTAGTGGGAAATTCAGCACTTGGCATTGCCAAAGAAGGTGTCTTTGTTGTAGCTGTTTTCCATGTAGGAACAGGGGTAGTTGATCCTGCCCTTTTTCCCACCAAAATTGCACGCTTGAATCTGTATTTTTGGATCAAAGATGATGATGACGATGATGAACAACCTCGTTTCCTAATCTTACATGCCCTTTTACCGTTTCCATCCACGTTTCGGTGTTGCCATGACATTGTAAGTTTTATTTATTTAATTTTTCTCACAAGAATTTGGCCTCAAAGACTCAAATTTGATGACCCAATTTCAGGACTTTGAAGTACTTTGGGACCAAATACACTAGAAACAATGGTAAAGATCTCCGAACCAAATTTTGAAGATCTTTATTTTTTTAAAGAATGGAAAGTTTTTAAATGAGATAGAGGGGGCAGAGTAGGGAAAAGATGATGAAAGAAGATTGATTAGTGAGTACCCATGTTTTCTTTTTTGGTAAGTCCCAAACTTGTTGCCTTGAATTCATCAAAGAAAGCATAGAAAGTGACCATCAAAGATCCTTGTACAGGATTTTACAGAAGAAAAGAAACAGTCTAAAATACTAGAAAAAGAAGATCCGAAAAAGCTTTTGCAAGAAGTGGGCAGCTGTCAACACAAAAAAAAAATGGGAATGTTGAAAGATTAGAGAGAGAGAGAGAGAGGGAAAGATTTTAAGGCATTTGTTTTGAAGTACTATTGGCTTTGATTTAGAAACCTTAAGAGAGGGAAAGAAGAGAAAATAAAAAATAAAGTGAACGAGTGATTTTATTTTTATTTTGGGTTGATTAAAAGAGGAGAAGGGACGACGTGGCGTAGACGTGAGAAAGCGTGCATTCAAATTTCAATCAGGAACGTTCATGTGTAAATGAACGGTCAAAATCTTTCCTAGCTTCTCTGCATTTGTTTTGTCTTCCTTCTCCCTAATCTTAGATCGAATGTTCTTTTTTCTGCACCATAAACTTTGCATTTTTTTGTTGCGTTTTGCTTCTATTATCAAATTACTCGTAAAAGTTTTAATTTATCAGATTCATAGAAAGCAATCTTAGATTAAATTCTTATGCTATTTCTTTATTGATCCTTAATCTCGAATTAACGACAATTGTGATTAATATATAATCATTTATTTATAAAATGAATTCAAAATTTAATTTAATTAATTTATATAATTATTTTTAAAAATAATATTTAATAAATTTAAAATTAATTTTTAATACATGAAATCCCAACATCTACTTATATAATACTATATTTTCATTCGCTAAGATTTTATATCATTTACCAAATTATCGAAGAAAATTAAATTTAAAGAAATATTACCAACAATTCTTTGATTATTGATTTTTGCAATTTTTTTTTCTAAAGAGCATCAATTTAAATTTATTTTTTAGAAAAAAAGTATTTATCTATTATGATTAATAGATCAGTTTTCCTTTTTTTTTAGAATGCACTAAGTATTTCCTAAGTGAGTCTATATTGCAATTCTAAAATGTAGTAATCATGCAACTAAGAAAACGCTGTTTTAGATTTTACAAAAAAAAAAGAGAGAGAAAGAAAACTTTATTTTAAATTATAGTTGTAAAATATACGAGAATGTACATGTTTTGAAACTCTAAATTTATCAATATTTAAAATAAAAATTGAGCATCAAATACGAAATAATTGACTGAAATATATAAAATTAGTTTGTAATTAATGCGATACACGAATTAATTTTACTTATTAACTAAAATATTTTAAAATTTTAAAATTAATAATTAAATTTATTATTATAAATAAACTGAAAATATTATATTTAAATACATGTTAACAGTTAAATATAAATTTGTAATGAGAAATTTTATGTTAATTATAGGTAGGAAATTACCTTTGATGCAAAAGAAATTCCTTTGAAATATATCTCCATTCTCATATCTAATACAATTCTAAGATCGATAATTTAAATGTAAGAGATCCTACTCAAGTTACAAAATAATAAAAAATTAATTCAGAAATTCTTGAATTGAAACATTTTTATTGAATACGTAAAGCTTGTTATCATCATTACTTACACAAAAAAAAAATAATATTTTATAGTTTAATATCTTTGTGCACAATTCATGTTATCATTTTGGGTGTAAGAAAAAAATTGTGTTAATATAAAAGTAAGAAAGATCAATATTTTAAAATGTAAGTATAATATAATAATAATAATGATACTTTTTACTCTAATTTTTTTTTCATTTTTCATTTAGTATAAAAATTATAATAAAAAAAACACTTACATGATAAAAATTCATTATCTTGAAATTTTATATGTCCAAAAAATTAAAAAAAAATAGAATCAATAACTTACTAATTATTTGGTATTTAAGCTGGATCTTCACAAAGTCAATATTAACATGTAACACAAAAATTTAGCGAATAAAATCTATATTATCTGTCAAAAACCAATTTCTTTATTGAATAAAATCTGGGTGAAACCAAAAAAAAAAAACCCTCCAAATGCTGTTTTAGTGTTTGAAAAATGTGATATTGATCAATACCAAAAAGAAAAAATGAGAAGCAGATAAAAGAAACATTGAAAATAAACAATAAAATTAGAAGATAAAATAAAGTTAAAAAAAGAATTTACATACCTTAAATAAATTGCAATTTTGTTCGGAACATTAAAAAGGTTAACAATAATTAAGAAATTTAGACTCACTTCAATGTATCACAGATTAAGAATAATAAATAATAATGATTGACTAACTTAAATATGTGAAATCTTTGATTATTAAATAGATTTTAAATAAATAAAGAATATAATAGGTGATGTTTAATATGTTTAGATTTTAAAAAGAACTAAATATTACAGGATTAATAGAAAATCTATAAATAGGAAAAATATATATATTATTGAAAAATTCATTTAAAAGAGATATATCTAAAATATATTTTATTGTCAACATTTTAATATTCACTATTTTTTTTAAAGCTTTTTAACTGATAACATCTATTTGAATATATCTTTACTATTATCATAAAGTTGTTGGTTGTATGATATGTCTAATTAATGTTACTTTAACAATTTAAAACCACGATGATTTAATCGAAAAATAAATGATTTTTAAAAATTAGTATTTAAAATTTGAATTTAATATATTAATGATAAAGGAAGTTGATTTTTTTTTGTATGGTTTAAATTAAGATAAAGTTTATATATAAATTGAAATTTGAAAGATTTTGATGAAATTACTTTTAAAAATTTTTGAACATTAAATAAAATCTTACTATAAATAATTGAAAGAATGTTTATTTGATTGTATATTTAAAATTATTTTACATGTTATTAAAATTAATTATATATATAATTATACGATAATATAACATAACATAACGTAACATAACGAGAGACTATTTGATTTTAAAATTCATTTTTCAAATGAGAAAGCATTGAGATTTCAAAATACCTAAATGGCAAATATCATATTGGAAAGTGAAACAAAGGGAGGGTTTGAGGTGAAAAATTGCACGTAAAACAAACAAGGGGTTGTTTACAAATAAGACAATTAGGAAAAAGTAGAGGGAAATAATTGTGGACCATACAATTGGTGTCAGTACATCCCTAACTTTATCGGTCAATCAATCTATCAATTAATCAGTATCTGCCCACAAGCAAAGAAAAACAAAGAAAAATTGAAAAATTTATTGGAAGGTGAGGCCATGAGGCAGGGGCCCTCTAACGGCTCAAATTGTTTGGCATTTTCCTTTCCTTTGCTGTTTCTCTTCGAAACTCCAAAAAAATAAAATAAAAAAAAAAATCTTTGAAAAACACCCAAATATTATGGGGGACCAGTTTTGTTGGCCTCGTTTGCATTTAGCCACTCTGATAACATTTCCAATCTTGGGTTAGAATCAGGTGGGGTGGTTCATGAATCATCATGGTGTTTATGATCAGAGATTTTTCAGGTGATCTTCGTAAGTGGCAGTGGTCCTTTTTGCTTTGATCATTACAAACTTTTGAAATTTGGAGTCTTCGTATTCTTGTTTATTATCAGAAAGAAAATTTTGAAAATTATGGAATTTTTCATGCTTCTGTTCAGGATTCTGAATCTCACTGGAGAATACAGAGGGCCAGTGTCATGAGCCAACCTTGTATAAGGTCATGACCGGGACTTAGGTTGTCATGAGCCACCCATGTATAGGGCCATGGCCGGGTAGACCCCTTGTGTTAGGAAAAGTGTCCCCATTTCAAACATTGTAACGGTTACTGGTAGCATAGCTCTAAAATCTCTAAGGCTCTTTAGGGGGGGTGAGCCGGCAGGGTATTGTTGGGCTGTCTCACCGGGTGCTATGCGAGCTTAGGCCACCCACCATGGGCTGCCCCCTGGCCCTGGTGATGGTGGGAGGTCTCGATGTATGATTCCCGATTTTAATGAAATTCGCCTCGATTGAATGCCCGATTGTTGCCTCGATGTGTTTCTTTTCTTTCTCGATGTGAATGTGCCTTGTTGTGTGTATGGATGAGATTGATATTGATATATTGTGCCTTATTGTGAATGCTTGAGACTAACCATGGTTTATGGTTATTTGTTCAGATCTCGATCTATTGAGGGCTGACTTGGGTGGAAGCGTCCATTCAAGTGCCTCGCGGGCTAGTGCTTGTTGAGAGAAAGCTTAGTCCGTGACACGTGGTATCAGAGCACGGTTGAGAAGTGCTAGAGAAATGGATGAGATGGCCACAAGTGGTGGACCGGATCATCGGCAGAGAATTGAGGAACTTGAGGCCGCGGTGGCCGCAATGAAAACTCATATGGTAACAAAAGACCGAGTGAGGGAGATCGAGACAACCCAGCGGGAGTTATCCGATACTCTCCACAATGTGAGCGAAGAGGCTAGAGATGCCTTGAACATTCTCCACAAGGAGTTTGAGGAGCTCAGGGCCCAGATGAGCATCCTACAAATGGCGGTGGCCAGTTCGGGTTCAAGCTCGACGGACAGGGGACAAAGGCCCAAAGTACCGGAGCCTCGGTGCTATGAGGGGGCAAGGGATGCTAAGGAACTTGAGAATTTCCTGTTCAACATGGAACAATACTTCTGAGCTGTACACACAAGTTCAGAAGAAGACAAGGTGACAATGGCATCGATGTATCTCGTAGGGGATGCCAAGCTGTGGTGGCGCTCCAAGTTTGTCGATGACGAGTGCCCGATTAAGACCTGGACGGATCTGAAGCGTGAACTGAAAAACCAGTTTTTTCCGGAGAATGTGGATTATATGGCTCAAAGGAGACTTCGAGAGTTGGTGCAAACCGGAACGGTGCGAGAGTTCGTGAGGAATTTTTCTACCCTGATGCTGGATATTAGGGACATGTCCGAAAAGGACAAGTTATTCCATTTTATTGAGGGCCTCAAGCCGTGGGCGAGGACAGAGCTACAGAGGCAAAGAGTGCAAGATGTGACGACGGCCATGGCTGCAGCGGAACGTCTTCATGATTTTAATGATGGTTCGTTAAAACGGAAGAACCCTCCACCAACTGGCAGTAGCTCTAATCTTGGGAGTGGGGGAAAGATAACTAGGTTGGACCGACCCTTCAGTTGGGGATCAGACAGGAGGTCCTTTGGGCGAGATAGCACCCAGCCTAGGACAAACAACGCAGGGATTTTCAAGCCTAGGCAACCGCTTGCTTGCTTTCTTTGCAAGGGGCCGCATCGAGTGGCTGAGTGCCCGCACCGAGGAGCCCTTAATGCCTTAAGGACCTCATCCCAAGAGTCTGCAAAAGCGCCCGAGAGCGTTGAAGAAGCTGAAGAGGAGCCAGCCAGGATGGGCTCAATAAGGTTCCTCAGTGCCCTTCACACCCAATT